TGGAGGCGGAAGCGGAGGAGGCGGAGGCGACCCTGGGGGGGGGGGCGCAGGCTCCCGACCACAGAGCACCCGCGGCAAAGGGACCCGCGTGGCGCTCGAGGGAGGAGGCTTCGCATGGGGGAAACGGGTCCGGAGTCCTGGGGCCTTCCCCCGGGACGAGTTCTTCATTCTGAGTCATCTCTTGACAGTCTTGGGGCCCGTGCAGGACCCCTGGAAGTCCAGCACGGCGAGGCTTTGCAGGACCCGTGTCCCCCCTGGCGTGGACCCAAACCCCCGACGTCATGATTTTTTCATAACGTCGACCCTCAAGGGTCTCGACCCATTCCCCTGGACCGGCTTTCCATCCTGATTCGTTTTCTGACGGTCCTGAGGGCCGGCAAGGGCCTCCGGGGACCGAGAATATGGCATCACCGCCCCTCGTGATGTTTGTCCTCGCCCGAGGGGGTCTGGGGAGGAGGCGGAGGGCCTCTGGACTGGGGCGAGGAGGGGCCCTCCGCCGCGAGGACCCCGTGCAGGAGCGGGCCCCGGGCGGGCAGGGCCGTGCCCCGCCGCTGATCAGCGCCCGCCGGCTGCGGCGGGCGGAGGCCGCGCTCCAGCGCGCCCGCCACGCCGTGCGGCGCTGGGAGGCGGTGCCCGCTGGGCCCTCCGCCGAGCAGGCCTGGGCGCCCTCCTCGATCCTCGGCCCCCCCCCTCCTCGCGTCGATCCTCGATGCTCCTGCTGCTGCTGCTGCTGCTGCTCCTCCTCCTCCTCCTCCTCCTCCTCCTCCTCCGCCTCCCCCTCCTCCTCCTCCTCCTCCTCCTCCTCCTCCTCCTCCTCCTCCTCATCATCATCATCATCAGCAGCAGCAGCAGCAGCAGCATCAGCATCAGCATCAGCATCAGCATCATCATCGTGATCATCGTCACCATCACCATCACAATCACGATTAACATCAGCATCGTCATCATCATCGGTATCATCATCATTGTCATCATCATCATCATCATCATCATCATCATCATCATCATCATCATCATCATCATCATCATCATCGTCGTCATCATCATCATTCACCGCCTCTTCCTCCTCCTCATCATCCTCGTCCTCCTCCTCCTCCTCTTCCTCCTCCTCCTCCCCCCCTCTCCTCTTCCTCGTTCTCGATGCTCCGTCTCCTAATTATACTCCTCCTCCTCGTCCTCGTCCTCGTCCTCCTCCTCCTCCTCGTTCGCAGCCTGATCCTGTTTCCCTTCCTCATCCTCCTTGTCCTTCTCCTCCTCCTCCTCCTCCTCTTCCTCCATTCTTTTTTCTTAGAGATAACTTCATCATCTTCATTTTCAGCATTATCATCAGCATCAGCATCATCATCAGTATTATCATCATCATCATCATCATCATCATCATCATCATCATCATCATCATCATCATCATCATCCTCATCATCATCATCATCATCATCATCATCATCATCATCATCATCATCATCATCATCATCATCATCCTCGTCATCATCATCATCTTCATCATCCACCGCCTCCTCCTCATCATCCTCGTCCTCCTCCTCCTCCTCCGCCTCCTCCTCCCCCCCTCTCATCTTCCTCGTCCTCGATGCTGCGTCTCCTCATTATATCCCTCCTCGTCCTCGTCCTCCTCCTCCTCGTTCGGAGCCTGATCCTGTGTCCCTTCCTCCTCCTCCCTCCTCCTCCTCCTCCTCCTCCTCTCCTCCTCCTCCTCTCCTCCTCCTCCTCCTCCTCCTCCTCCTCCTCCTCCTCCTCTCTCCCTCCTCCTTCTCCCATCCTCCTTGTCCTTGTCCTCCTCCTCCTCGGCCTCCTCCTCCTCCTCCTCTTCCTCCATTCTTGTTCCTTAGAGATAACTTCTGATAGACCGCGCTCGTGGGGCCCGGCAGACTAGAAGGGGGGCCCCAGCTTGAAGCTACCCCCCTCCCCCCTTCCCTGCTAAAGGGGGGGGGGGCTTCGGAAGCCCCCCCCCCTCCCCCCTTTTCGTGGTCCGGAAAGGGGGGGGGCGCTTCGGAAGCTCCCCCCCCCTCCCCCTCTTTTCGTGGCCGGAAAAGGAGGGGGGGGGGCTTCCATGCTACCCCCCCCTCCCTCCTTTTAATGGAGCTGGAGTGAGCCCCCCCCCTTTGAAAGGGGGGGGCTTTGGAAGCTCCCCCCCCACCCACCCGTGGTGCAAAAGGGGGGGGGGGGGGGCTTGAAGCTCCCCCCCCTCTCCTCTTTGGCTCGTGTGAGGGAGGTTTTTCATTTGAGTCGTGTCTTGGCGGTCCCGGGGCCCGCTGAGGGCCTCTGGAGGCCGAACATATCCAAAAGCTTCCGCCCTGATTTTTTTGCAAGACGTCGGAGGTCTGGGTACCGGGGCCCGTCCCGGCCGATCTCTCCTCTGCTGGGGCCGGAGGCAGAAAATCTCCAAACCCTTCCGCCTTGATTTTTTCAAGACCATGGAGGTCTGGGTCCCGGGGCCCGCCCCGGCCGACCTCCGGGAGGGGGAGGGGAGGTCTCCCGGAGGCTTCCCTTCAGGAGGAGGAGGCCTCCTAGAGGTTTGTAGGGGACCTCCTTAGGGAGACCCCCATGCGATCTCTCCCCTCCGGCGGGGCCAGCCTCCAGAGCGGCCCCGGGGCTGCCCAGGGAGCGGGCTTCGGAGGGTGGGGCGCGGCGGAGGGGTTTCCTCTTAGGCCTCGGGCCCCGAGCCCCGAGCCAGGCAAGCGACCTCGAGCCTCGAGCCTTCCCGTTTTTTTGATCCTCGTTCCTCGACCCTGGATCGGGGGAAGGAGAAGCGACACCAACACCACCAGGGAGGCTACCTCCAGCGAGGCGGCTTGGCGGTACAACACACGTGCGCATCTCAGCGTGCACCGCAGAATGGTCGATTGAATCGAGCCACTTGGTTCTCGGACGGCCAGTTTAGCTGGAGCCTCCTGGAAGCAAATGAGAGTTAGGGTGATGCGGGCGGACTCGGGGGACTCGTAAATTCCAGCGGCGCTCCTTTGTCCATGAGGATTTGGTTTCCATTGTTTTCTCTGGCATCCACACGCGCTCCATTTTGTCACAAGGATCCCTTTCTGAAATTCTATACACAACAATGGTGCTGTGTTGCACACGGTTGATGTGGTGCACACAGGCGCCGTGGCGTACACAGGCACTGCAATGCACGCAGACATTGCGATCTACACTGGTGCTGTGGCGCGCACGGCTGATGTGGTGTACGGAGGCGCTGCGGTGTACACAAGAGCTGCTGTGCCCGCAGGCGCGGTGGCACAAACTGACGCTGCGTTGCACACGGCTGCTGTCGTGTACATCGGCGGCGTGGTGAGCACGGCGCTGTGGTGCACGCGGGTAATGTGATGTACACAGGCGTTGTGGTGCATATCGCCACTTACATGTTCGTGCTACCCGTCCTCCGTCATTCCTAACCATTCCCAAACGCCGCCGGCGCGAAACGTGACGTCATCGACCCCCTCCCCCCCCAGATGATTGCCGTCATCGGCCCGGACTTTAAAAACAGGCTCCAGCCGCGTCCGCGCGCACGACGACAATGAGCGATGAGCGACGAACCACGAGCGACGACGACGACGACGACGACGACGACGACGACGACGACGACGACGCCTGCGGACCAGACACCTATGCGGATTCCTACGCAGACACCTACGCGGATCCCAATGCGCACGGCCGCAGTGCCCGGAGCGCACTGAAGAACCGGGGGCCATGACGCCCGTCATGCCCCAAGCAATAAAGAAATGGCCTCTTGACATAGAATGCGGGATGGCGTTGACGCCGCCGCCTGGAAAGAAAGGAAAAAGAGATGTGCCAAACCGCGCACCAAGCAAGCAGCCCGCTCAAGCAGCAACGGAGCCACGTGGCCCGACGTCTGCGGCTTCAATAGCAAGCGCAACAGCGCTCACGAAGTTGACAGCACGGACGCGACGAGAGCGGATCGCCGCTCATTCGCAAACGACGCCAGACACGGGTGCATCGCGGCGGAATCGCGCCAGGGAGCGCCAGCTCTTGCAAAATTCGAGATAGCGACGCCCTTCAAAACGCATGCAAACCGTGACCCAACATGCGTACCGCGCCAAACCTCCCATACATTCGCTCTGGTATCGCTCGTCTCACACGGACAGACAGCAAATCAACAGGCGTGGCGCGGCGCCCCTTCGCAAACGCACCAACCGGTGTCAAGCACCAATGAACCAATGAATCAATGAATCAGTCGTGCCAGGGAGCGCCAGTTCATGCAAAATTCGCGATTGTGACGCCCTTCGAAACGCATGTAAACAGTAACCCAACATGCGTACCGCGCCAACCTTCCCATAAAGTCGCCATGGTAACGCTCGTCTCACACCAACAGACAGCAAATCGACAAGCGTGGCACGGCTCCCCTTCGCAAACGCACCCGCCGGTGTCAAGCACCAATGAATCAATGAACAAATGAATCAATGAATCAATGGAACAATGAGCCAATGAACCAACGCACCGCCCCGATGCCCTCCACCTGCGGCGTCGATTGCGAATCCAGCAGCATTGTTCGAGCCATTGAATTTTTCATTTATGAATGTGTACCTCTGTGGTAACGTCACGTCTCCTCGAAAGACTCGCACGAACGTCGACTGATAGCCACATTCTGCCACTGGCCTGCTGATCATCTACCTCGCCGGCGGATGCTTCGTGGCACACCGCTGTGTCTGCGGGTGACTGGCCTCACGAGTCAATGAGTCAATGATGCAATGAATCAACGAATCAATGAATCAATGTGTCCAGAGAGCTGCAACTCTGTGACACCGCAACTTGTGTTACAGGGCCCCCCCGCTCCGATGCCCGCCAATTGCTCTGATCATGTCCCTCACCTGCGGATGTTCCCTGGCGCTCCGCTGTTTCCGTGAGTGACTGAACTAATGAATCAATGAACCAATGAATCCATTAAGCCATGGCATTGATACTCTATGCCAGCGCGCGTGCAGCGCCATGGACTGCCCCACCGCCTCGCACGCAGACGCACCGTGCAGCACAGAGGAAACGCTCGATGGCACGAGGAGCCATGGCCGAGACAGAAATACAGGGAAGGAGCAAAGGATGACAGAGGAGAAAAGCAAAGCTCACGAGCGTGAGCGCCACTTGACGCACGGAGGGCAATTCCGCACCACGATTCCAGAGAAGCGGATGGGCAGGGCGACAGACGGCGAGCGCCGCAGAAGCGACACTCTATATCTACACTGCCCTCCAAGCGTCCGTACACCAAAGCTGTCAAGAGCTCCACAGATCCCATCGTCAGAGAGCTCTGGCTCCTCGGCCGCGACCTCTCCCTCAAGGGAGAGTGGGCCGCGCGAAAGTGGAGGGAATGTGACACAGAAAGAGAGAGAGAGAGAGAGAGAGAGAGAGAGAGAGGACAAAAACAAAAGAGAGAAGCGGGACGGGTCGGCCACACGAAAACGCGCCCGCAGGCCACACCGGCTCGCTACGCGCGCACCCACACATCCCATGTCGTGTTTTTTTGTTTTCAATGCGGGGTCCCAGGAGTTCCCGACCCTTTCCCCAGGACCGGGCTTTCATTCTGAATCTTCGTTTGACGCTCCCGGGGCCCGGCAGGAACCCCCGGCCGAATGCAAAGAAAGTCTTGCTCCTTTATTTTCTCACGACGTCGCAGATCTGGGCCCACCCCCGGCCGCGC